CTTCCTCCGAGGCGATGGAAATTTTATAAAAAGCCACAGAAAAATTTAAACGAGAGAACAACCCAAAGCTAAAGCTGAAGCCGAATAAAAATGAGAGGATAGATGAGAAGATTGTTTAGAACCTACACTATAAAGAAACCTAGACTACACACCACAAACTAAAACAAAACTACCAACCTCCAATAGAAAAAAATTGGATATTTTAATTTTTTTGGCTTATTAGTGTCCAAAATTTTATGTATTATATTTTTTTATTTATTTACAATTTTTTTTTTAAAAAAAATGTTGTCTGAAATCATTCCGAATAAAAAAAAAGTTCGTTGGTCGCCCATTTTCCTTGAGGCGTTGCCTTGCCTCCATCGACTGCCACTGTACGCCCCTTGTCCGGGATTGTTTGTAAGAGAAAGGGCTACAAAGAGGGGAAGGGGCCCTTGTCCGGGATTGTTTGTAAGAGAAAGGGGTACAAAGAGGGGAAGGAGAAAGCAACTGTGGATGTTGGGGTAGAGGTTAGGACCTGGAGGAGTATTAAGATGGAGTGACTAATACACAAATTCGTCAGGTTGAATTGAAACAACACGAACGATTATCAAATCTTTGAGCTTCGAAAACCTGCAATGCGCCGTGAGGGATCTCGACGTAGAACCTCCGACGCTCAAGCCAGTGTATGATCAAGGGAGAAAACTAGAAAAAGTATGGTCGAGAGAGAAAACTAGTTGGCAAAACAAGTTGAAGAAAGCGATGCACGCGGCTACCGTGTACTTCATTTGGAATGCGAGAAATAGGTTGATTTTTGAAAATGAATCTCAACCTCCGAGTCTAGTAATCCGTAAGATACAAACTCATGTTTATCATACAATCTTTGCGATGTATACGAACGTGCTTGCCGAATATGAGAAGAAAGCCCGAGGAGTATAAGCTTCTCCCTTCCTTAGAAAACTCGGTGGTTGTCTTTCTGTCTTATTTTGGAACCTGAGTGAGCAACCTACTTGTGGTTGCGCTCTTAGACTTATTGCCCGGGAGTGGGAGCCGAGCTTGTGGTTGTCCACTGCGTTTTATATGCCGTTTGTCGGTCATTTGTACTACAGTTTTGATCTATAAATTTACGATCAAAAAAATAGAACATGGTTACCTTTATATAATAGGGTGCCTTATAATACAAGAGTCCTTAGAAAAGAGATCTAACAGATATACTATCCTAACTTACCACGCCTCTAGATCTTGTCGAGATACATTTTCATTCATATTAAGATTTTATCTTTCCTTTCTATGCGACACTCTGCTCCCTAGGTCTCAACTCAACCTCTCGACCTCCCTACCATCAGTCTGTACCTGGTCGATACCTCGACCTCTACATCGTGGCGCGAGGTCACTGCATGTAATCGAGCTCCTAGAAGTCTACGACCTCTAGTCCGTCTTTATCAGGTCGACCACCCTGAGCTGCATTAACGAGCTCACAAACTGGTTCAGATGTTGATACCGAGCCTAAGCTTCTCTGGACCATCCTGACCTGAGCTGACCACTCGTAGTTGGTCCCTCNTTTACGTCCACCGAAATTAAGAAGAGTAAATTTACATTTTATAAGTTGCCTTATAAAACAATTGGACGGAAAACTGATAAGCCCATCCTCTCTCTCTCTCTCTCTCTCTCTCTCTCTCTCTCTCCTTTTTTCTTTTCCTCTTATCGTCCGTGTTGAACTTTGTACTCTTTTGCTTCGTTTAATGTTATGTTAAATGCTTACTAGATTATTATATAAGCTTAGTTTTTTATTTATTTTTATTTTTTATTAGATATCTCATACCATAAAGGAAAATGTTTACAATCGGAGGGCTCACTAGCGCTTACAACATAATTGGAGAACCCTCCTACCAGGTGGCCTAAACAAAACAAAAGCAAGCACCAAAGGCATAACCGAAGTTAAGAGCACCTAAAGCACTTCCAAACCATACAAACACAAATCCAAGCCACTGACCTTACAAACAGGACTAGCTATGGATATAAAAAACAACAGCAAGCCTACTAATACTACTACTCAAAGGACACAAACAAAACAACAACCTAACTTAAAACAATACTCGGTCCATTCCCTGTGAGCCAGCCTGGCCACAGTCTCCTCTGGTATCCATAAGTTTTGAAAGACCCACAAATTCTGGGACTTCCATAGCCACCACAAGATATACGTTGACAATTGAATACGGGGTTCAGAAATGGGTGTTAGCTTCATCTTTGCAATCTGCCACCACCATCCCTTAAAACCTGTTGTGACAGCATCATTGAAATCCAAGGAAACAGTTGAGGCCTTCCACATACACTGAGCTCTTCTGCATTCAAAGAAAACATGTGCAACATATTCTATATCATCCCCACAGCATCTATAAATAGCATCCACATCCAGCCTCCTCTGCACCAAATTATGACACACTGGTAGATTGTTTGTAAAACACTTCCATAAGAAATGTTTTAACTTGGGTTTGACTTTTAAAGACCAGCATCTCAATCTTGCTTTTTTATCCAAAGCCAGAGTGTAGCTGCTACTTGGGACATCTAGCTTCAGAACTTTCCAATCAATTGCCACAGCATAGGCAGAAGCAACAGTAAACTTACCCTTGTCATCTGGACACCAAACCCATCTGTCTCTCTCCTCAGGGTTCAAGCTATGCATTTCCATAATAGCTCTGTAAGAAGAAGTTGTGAAAAGTTGCTGCAACAGATCAATGTTCCAAGATCTACCAGATTCAGATATCAGCTCCCAAACCCAAGTCACCTGCAAACTCTCTACTTCTGGTTTTAGACATGGAATACCTGACTTTAGGCCCATCACCCATGGTTCTGACAGTATTTTGGTAGACATTAACCTGTTTTGTGAAACCATCTTTATGGATGGCCATAACTCTTGCCCATGAATTCCATAACCAGGAGGCAGAAGCCCTACCTTTTGCATTCAACACACATCCATTTGGAAAGTATCTCTCCTTTTAAATCTTTTGTCATTAAAGAGTTTGGTTTTGTCAATAATCTCCAAATCTGTTTCAGAATTAATGAATCATTTAAAACTCTGAAATCTTTGAACCCTAAACCCCCTGCACTCTTTGGAATAGTAACTTTTTGCCATGACATCCAATGAATACCTTTCTACTGATCCTTACCAGAAGACCACCAAAAATTTTCATAGAGCTGAGCTATTTCCTTGCACACACCCACAGGCAAGCAAAAACAGGACATAACAAAAATTGGTAGAGCAGAAATAACAGATTTCAAAAGAACTTCTTTACCAGCAAAAGATAGGAACCTGTTTTTCCAACTGATAAGTTTCTTTTTCATAGCAGATGTAACAAATTCAAACACCTCCTTCTTTGATTTCCCTATTCCCAATGGGAGACCAAGGTATCTAAATGAGTGACAAACCTCAATCTCATGCAGACACTGGCACACTTCAATTTTCAAGCTATCAGATGCATTTTTGCTGAAGAACACAGATGATTTTGAAAGATTAACTTTCTGCCCTGTAAAACTCTGATAAGATGCCAATATTCTAAGCAAGGTCTGAGAGTTCTTAATGTCAGCTGAGCAGAACAAAAGGGAATCATCTGTGAACATTAAATGTGACAGAATAGTACCACCTCTGATAAGCCTCAGCCCCTGCAAGTCACCACTATTAATAGCATTCCCAATCAGCTTAGAGAAAACCTAACAGATAAGGGGAGAGGGGGTCCCCTTGTCTGATGCCTCGAGTTGGAGTAACAAAACCAGTCACATTGCCATTTATGTTAAATGAGAACACAGAGGAAGATATGCATGCAAAAATCCATCTCACAAACACTGAATTAAAACCCATTTTCAGCATCAGTTTGACCAAGCAGTTCCATTCCACACGATCATAAGCCTTCATCATATCCTACTTGACAGCCATTAAGCATTTACTACCATTTCTATGTCTATTCAGATAGTGAATCACTTCCACAGCTATAACCACATTATCAAGCAACTGCCTCTCAGGTATAAAAGCTGATTGAGTTTCACAGAATTTCAGACACTCTTTCAGTCTAGATGCAATAACTATGGCAATGATTTTATAAGAAACTGAGCACAAACTAGTAGGTCTAAATTGATTTACAGATTCAGGGTTTTCACACTTTGGAATTAAAGTTATAACAGTGTGATTCCAGCTTCTAAGCATTCTTCCAGTGTAAAAAACATTCAGAATAGCTGCACATAAATCATCTTTAATAAGTGGCCGAAAGTGTTGGTAAAATAATGGAGTCATACCAGATTCTCCTGGTGCCTTATTTGGATTCATTGAGAAAAGGGCAGCTTTTATCTCAGGCTCATCAACAGGGCAATCAATTTGGAATTTTCTTCCTCAGAAATGACTGGAGCTATGAGAGGTAGGATCTCTTCTTCACCCCATGAACCTTCAGATGTAAAAAGAGACTGATAAAAATCGATGAAGCTAGTTTCAATCTGTTCTTGGCTAACTGCAAGTCTGTTGTGAGCATCCACAATTCTGGAGATAGCATTTTTCTTTCTCCGATCCTGTGCATAGTGATGGCTGAAAGAACTGGGTGTTCTTGTCTCCCTCCTTAAGCCACTAGATTCTTGCTTTCTGCCTCCAAAATTTCTCTTCTGATAAATGAGAATCATTTAGCTCCTTTTTTATCTTCTCCCATTCTTGCCAATTTCTCTGTCCCCCCATGACTCTCATCTCTTCCAGCTTTAAAGTGAGATCAGCAATCTTCTTCACATTCTCAGACTTTGACAATTTATTCCAGTTTAGCAAAGCCATGCTAGTCTTATTTATCTTTTCTTTCACAGTGAACATCAATGACTTCTCCACTGCTCCACTCCAAGCCTTCTCCACTACCTCATAACATCCAGGTTTACTCAACCACCTTTTATCAAAGCAAAA